GGCTGGTTCACAGCAGACACCCCCAGCCTGTCCCATTCCCTCAGGGATGCTGGGCAGTGGGCTGGTCCCATCCCAGAGCCCCTGTCTGGTTTAGGATCCCAGTTGTTCAGCTGGGAGGAGGAGGAGAAAAACAGCATTGCTAGGGATGGAAAGGGCAAAAACAGATCTAGAGGCTTCCTTCAGCCACCCCACCTCACCCACCCCCACAGCCATGATGGTTTCAGCAGCTCAACCCAAACCCAGTGCAGAGGATTCCCATGGGAAATCTGGAGCTACAACTCCAGCTGTCCCCGGGGTGAAATCACTGAGCATCCCCAAAGTATCAGAGGCAGGAAGCAGCTGTGATGTCTCCTATCTCCAGATCTGATCAGGAGAGGGTCTCCAACCCTCTGCCAGCAGCCCCACCCTCACAGTGGTGCTGATCCAGGTGGAAGCAGCCCCTTCACCTGGAGCAAAGGAGCAATTCCTGCTCCCACTCCGGAGCTGGGGTGAATCAGACAAGTGCTCCAACTCCAGCACCCGACCGAAGCAATCCTTGGGAGCCTGGTTTATGTAATATCAGGTGCTCTGGAGGGGGGCAGGAAGGTTTTTGGCAGGAAGATGAGGCTGTATCAGCAGTGCTGGGGATGTCTGGGTGCGTGAGGCCACGGGGACAGCAGGACGGCGCAGAGGCCGCGTGTCAACCACACCAGGGACACTCGGCCACGCGTGAGCCCCTGGGAGAGCAGCACGGCTCCTTGTGCTCTGTGGGGATGGACACGAATCCCCTGGGCTGGGGGAGCAGGATTTGCTCTCCTTGGGGGTCAGGGAGAGCGTGGGAAGGGCGTGGGGGGCCGGTGGGCGTGGGGGGACGGGCGTGGGGCGCGCGGCGTGTGCGGCGTGGGAGGTGCGAGCTCGGCAAGCTGCGCGTGGGGGCAGCGCTGCCTGCGGGGCTGGCGGAAGCCCCCGGGCCACCAGTGCCACCCCCGACACCCCAACACGCCCAAGAGTCCAGCAGGCACACCAGGGGCCCTCCCAGCACGGCATGGGCAAGGGAATGGGAAAAGCGGAGCCAATCCGTGGATTCTGGGGCTCCCCGAGCCTCGCTGCGCATTTAGGGCCCCATCCCCAAGCCAGGGCTGGGGAGCTAAAAAAAATAAATGATGTGCAAGGGATGAATATTTATCTGTGGGTGGCAAGTGACAGATGCTGGGGCGAGGATTCTTGGATACTTCAGTTTGCTGGAGGTAATCACTGGAATAGATTAATGAGAAACATCCTGCCCTACAGTTGCCTCGCCCGGTGCCTCTGCTCCTGCACACAGCGGCCTCTGGGACCCAAGCACACAAAGTTCAGCAAGGCTTGGTGCCCACAAAGGCTGGAGATGCCCAGCTTTGGTGGTTTCCACCCAGAATGGAGCCAGGAACTGGGAAAGGGACGTGGCCTCTGGCTGCTGGCAGCTGAGCTGCTGAAAGTGGCCTTGGAGGTGGTTCTGGCCCAGCTGAGGTGGGGGAAGCTGATGTGGAGGAGCTTCCACAGTTACCAGCGCTCTGCATTTCCCCAGCACGGCATTCCTTCCTCCTTGGAAGGTTTGCAGAGTCCCAGGGGAAGCATTTTGCCACAGACCCTGCCCTTTCCCAGCACTGCTCCTCTTCCCTCCTCCCGAAATCGCAAACACGCGACGTCGCTTTTGGGTCCCTGAGCACCGGGAAGCCGTGCTGGCCTGACAAGATGGAAGGAAAAAAGCTCTTTGCTTCTGGTAGCTTCTCAGAAAAGGCTGAAACTGCTGCTAAGCCACCCCAGCGTGGGGATGCTGCCCAGGTTTCCCTAAAAAACGCTGCGCTGCAGAGGATGGGGAGTGTGCTGGAGCGGGGGCACGTGCGTGGCCGGGGACAGGGCCAGCCCTGCAACACCCAGCCCTCAGAGACCTGTAGTTAGTCCAGACTTGTGTCTGTCCTCCCTCCAACCTCCCAGGCAGGGGCTGGGTGCCAGGAGGAGACAGCACCCATGTTGGGAGCAAGCAGAAACCTCCCCACAGCCCCTCCTGAGCGCCTCGGATGTGGGAGACGGCGACGATTCCCTGCCCAAGCTTTATTTTTGACTGAAGGACTGCTGGGATTTATCCATGGCTTCCAAACACACACCCAGCACATCCCAGCTCAGTCCCCAGCATCCTTCCAAGCAGCTGAAACAAAAGGCTGCAGCTCTGTTTTTCTCTGGGAGAAAACAACCGGCACCAAATTATCATTAAAAATCCCGAGGCGGTTCCGCCTCTCCCTGCGAGAGCACAAAAAAAGCAGCTGCAGGTGAGGTTTAACCTCCCCTCCCTGTGCAACCACAAAGCAGCAAACTGGGTTTTCCAGAGCAAGGTCTTGCAGCACCTTTCGGCAGGGCTGCGATGGAGCTCCCCGACGCTGCAATTTCCTCACCGGAGCCGTACGGAAAACCATAACATCCTAAAAATAACCCCTGAGCCTGCTTTAGGAGGCCACAATTCCCAGGAAAACCAGGGGCCAGCGGAGCCCAGTGCCCCTGGCTGCCAGCAGGTAGGCCTGCCTCGGATTATGGTGGCAATTCCGATTGTGGAAGTAGCCACAACCCAGGAGAGAGGATGATACAGCCACTTACAGCACGGCACCAGCTGTTTCTCCCAGTTCAGCCCTAAAGCTTGTTAGCCCAGCAATTTTTTTGGGTTTGATCGCTCCAATTGGGTTTTTCTTGTTTTTCCTCTAATCCCAGTTTCCCCTCAGCAGCTCGTTAAGCCGTGTTGACGGCAGAGAAGAGCTCTGGTGATCCCTCTGAGCCCCTACGCTAGAGCATTAAGCCGTAAACTAGGAATGTAAGACTCTTGTCTGAATTAAAGTCTTTTCCCTGGCATCGTTGAGCGTGGGGCTGCCTTTGGAGGGGCTGGAGGAGGTGCAGAGCCCTCCAGCCCTGGCTCAGAGCTCTGGCAGCAGTGGGGCTGCCCCATTCACCCCAGATCCTCCCCCACACACACACTCGCCTCCATCCTGCCCCGCGTTGTTCCCATGCAAATCCTACAGGTTCCAATGGTGCCAATCCCATGTGCAACTCGGGTTGTGTCCCCAAGGCCTGGCCCACCCCGTGCTCCGACCCCTCTGGGCCAGATCTGGGCATCCCCACACCAGCACAGCCCTTTTCACATCCCAAAAAACCTGCTTGAGGAGAGGAAGGAGCGAGGAGCCAGCGCCCAAGAGACCCCATGGAACATATGGGGCTACCTGTGGCAAAGAGCTGGGCTGGTGCCACGCTGGGCTGGTTCCTTCTCTCCTGCAGGGTGGGAGCATCCCTCGATCCAAGGCAGCAGGTTGCAAACTCCAACCCAAACCCCGCTGGGAGGTTCTCCCCACCACCCTCCAGCCCACCCGCCCCAGCCAGGAAGGGATCAACGCATCACCTACCTCCATCCGAGTAGGTCTCTGTCCCGTAGCCATCCTGTAATCCATTGCTCCAGGTGCCTTCGTACTTGGCCCCGTTTCCAGTGCATTCCCGGACCCCGTACCGTCCCTTAAATCCATGGGTCCACTCTCCTTTGTACACCCACTTCCCTTTGCTCTCCATGCCAATGCCATGGCGCTTGCCCTGCGCCCAGGTGCCCTGGTAAGTGTTGCCACTGGGCCAAGTGTAGACCCCCAGCACCTCAAAGCCGTGACTCCAGGAGCCCGAATATTCACCTTGACCCTTCGGGCCGGTACAGATTCCATGGCCATGAGCCTTTCCGTCCTCCCAGCCTCCACAGTACGACCCTCCATCGTCAAAATTAAACCTTCCCCCACTGGACATGCATGTAATTCGGTTTGCAAATCTCCCAAAAGGTGAAAAAAAAAAAAAAGAAAAAAAGAAAAAAAATAGGAAGAAATGCAGGAAATAAAATGAGAACGATGACTTGGGGGAAAAGAAATAAATAAAAATAAAAAAAATTAAATCAACTTGAACTCAATCAAAATCATGCACCAGATCCAGGGAGCTGCTTAAGCCAGTTTCTTGTGATTATTCATTCTCTGGGAGTATGTTGAGGATCAGTTCTCTCTTCCCCTGCTGTGGAAACAGGATCATTAAAAAAAAAAAAAAAATAGCAGCAAGAACAGCAGCAGCTATTGGATTTTGGTGCAAACGACTCCACCTAAAAACCATCCAAGGCAGGGAACGGGGGTGGGGGAAAAGGAAAAAAAAAAAAAAAAGAGGAGGGAAAAAAAAAAAAAAAAAGAGGCCAAATGCCAAGAGAAGGGAAAGAGGAAAAAAAAAAAAAAAAAAAAAAAGGAAAAGCGAGCGCTGGGCAGCCCCGGGGGGAGGATGCTCAGAGCCCCCGCGGAGCCCCCCGCCGCCGGCCGGGCTGGCTGGGGCGCAGGGCCGGGGGCAGCGGCGGGCGCGGCGGCATCGCGGGGCTCGGCAGCAGCAGCGGCAGCGGCAGCAGCAGCAGCAGCAGCAGCAGCAATGCGGAGCCTCCTCCGCCGCCCTCCCGCACGGCTCCGGCCGCTCCCGCACCGCGCACGCCCCGCGCCCCCTCCCGCCGCCTCCCCCGCGCCGCAAACCTCAGTGCCCGGCCCGCAGCCCGGCCGGAGGATGATGCTGATGGGATGCTCGAGGGGTTGGGATGACCCCTCCGCCTCACCCCCCACCCCTACTTTCCTCGGTGGGTCCCTACGGGGATAAATCCCGCTCGGTGATGAGCAGGAGCCTGGGCTTTCTGCTCTGCCTCAGCTCCCGGCGCCGGGCTCAGGGTGGATTTAAAGCGACAGGAACTGCGTCGCCTTCTCCTCGCAGCCCAGCAGGGCCGCAGCCCCCCGCAGCCTCCCGGGATGCTCCGGCGTTTTTATTTATCCCTCCGGTTCTCCCGCAGCGCCGCCGCCGCCGTGGGGAGGAGAGCGGTCGGCATCCCCCGCCGGGGCGGGGGTCCCTGGTGCGAGGGTGGGGGGACACCGGGAACGGGCCAAACGCCGTGTGTCCGGGCAGAGCCCGCTCCGAGCCGGCTCCGGAGCTGCAGCACGGCTTTTTATTGATTTTTTTGGATTTTTATTGATTTATTGTCGGAAAGGCCGCGCTGTCGCTTCGCCCCGGGCTGCGGGGCAGCGCTCCGGGCTGGGTCCCGCTCCAGCGGCGCTGCCTCGCTCCCCTCCCTGCATGGATGTGCATCCCGATGGATGGGATGCACAGCGCATCCCATCCATCGGGAGGCCCTCAGCGCTCCGCTCCGCGGATTTTGGGGTTTTTTTTTTTTCCTCCCTGGGGTTGCTGGAGATGTCGGAATTCACCCCAGGCAGCGCTGGCGGCTCGCCTTGTGGCCCTGGAGCAGGCGGGGTCCGGCTCCGCTGGCGCATCCCCCCCTGGATCGGAACGTGCCCAATCTTTTTGGCACCGGGATGCGTGTGCGGGGTCCGTGTGCCTGCAGATATCGATATATTTGTGTTAATACAGCAGGGGATTCACGCGCCGCTATTCTCTGCTGGAGGATAATTTAAAAGATGCTCGCAAGTGCTTATAAAGCAAAATCTGGGCGATGGAGGAAAAACTCAGCTCGTCCCCAAAATCTCCACGCACCGGCTCGGATTTGCATCCTGCCATCGCCACCAGCAGTACTGGAGTGGTGGTCTTGAGCCAGACCCAGCCTGGCCAGGACTCCAAGGAAATAAAAACCAAAGGGTGTAACTGCTGGTGGTGGAAACCCGCGGGAATTAGCTGTGCATCCCCTCTGGAAAGGCTGCTTGTGCGAGCAAACCTTGTACCTGCCTCACTGCCCACCCACCGGCAACTTTCAGGCTGTGTCTTCCCACTCAGTTGGTTTTTTTTTTGGTTTTTTTTTTTCCTTCTCTCGATGCGTTTTCTTGCCCATCCATGGAAACACATCACCACCCTCCTCTGGAAGAAAACCTTCCCCTCTCTCTCTCTCAGAGCTGGAGGGAAGAGATGCAACTGGAGTGGGTGGAAATTTTCCCACTGAAGCATTTCTTTCCAGCAGAAAATGTCTTTTCAAACTACAGCGAGTCCTTTGTGAATGCAAGAACTGTGCTCATTATACATGGGGGGCTTTGGCAACTACAAACTCCCTTTTTCTTTTTTTCTTTTTTCTTCTTTTTATTTATTTTTTTTTTTCACAGAGGGAGAATTTGGGTGGGAACCCCCAAAGTTTCCAAGAAAAACACCAGAACTGAAGTTGCTTAAACACATAAAAAATTTGGCAGTGAAAAAAAGAAATTTCAGCCCCCTTCTGTTGATTTCTCAGTAATTTTAGACAGTTACAGCGGGTTTACATGTTAATTAGCCAATTAATTATTGGCCAGCTGTTCTTTTGGGGGGTATTTGGTGGGATGTAGGGATTTGAGGCAGGCACCAAGGTGTGACACCCCTCTGACCAACGTGAGATGCTGCTCCTCATGAAGCAGGTGCTTAAAACAACAGCAAGTTTAATGGCACCTTGCGAAAAAGAAATTCCCAACAATCTGCTGAAGGAAGAGAGGAGGATGTGATCTACTATTAGGACAGTGTGTGGCTTTAAAATGAGGGTTATTTTGGGAACAGCACCTTTGTACTTGAGGAATGGGCAGGTTCCACTCTAAAAATGCACCTAAAAATCTTCTGGTCTTGAGCTGATTTAGGTTTCCTGGGATGTTCCCTGCCTGACATGGCTGGAGCAGAGGGTTTGCTCTGAAAGGGACTTTCTGGTCATTAAAAGGTTTAAGGTGCGCTCTAAGAGGCTCCAAAAATTTCCAAAAGCCACGCTGGAAGGTGGATAAAGCAGACTGCAAGTGTCCAAGGCCAGGTTGGACAGGGCTTGGAGCAAGCTGGGATAGTGGGAGGTGTTCCTGAGGGGTGGAATGAGCTGAGCTGTAAGATCCCTTCCAACCCAAAGCATTCCATGATTCTCTGATTGTGGGAATGCCAGGTGAAGGGTTGGATGAACCCTTCCAGGTGCCAGGGGAATCCTGGTGTGGTGGCCAACCCTGACACGCTGACCCTGAGCTTATCCCCAAATAAACCTGCTTTTCCCAGACTTTCTCCAGAGGTCAGGATTAATTTCCAATAAAAACTCCTGCCCCAGTGAGCAGCCTTGGGAGTCCTCTCCAGGCCAGTTCATATTTCCTCAGTGCTGCTGATGTGCAGGAGGCTGAGGGAGAGGAAATTCCAGATTGGATTTCACAGCAGCCCTGAATGCCAGCGGGCTTTTCCCTCCTGCCATGCCAGGTCTGCAAAGCTGGGCTGCAGGATTTCTCCAGGAGGTGTGACTAATTGCAGGGACTTTTCCACCACAGGATACAGATGGTGTTAGATAGGGCTGACAGTTTTTTTCTTTAAATACCTGGCGCATGTGTGGATGAGGAGATGAGTGAGATGAAGTTTGGGATAAAAAAATAATGACAAAAATATAATAAAAGGCAAATCAGCTTCTAATAAATCACTGAGTGTGGATGGGGGAAGAAAAAGTAGGATTGGGCAGTGGGAGCAGTGGGTGTTTTCTATCCATGGTGGAAATGCAGAGCTCCAAAGGGAGCAACTACTGAACTACTGAAGGCATCCAGCCAAGCTGGGGGCATCAGGCTGGTGATGGAAAGGAGGAGGAGGATACAAAGAAAAACAACTGCAGCAAACCAGTGGCACAAGGTGGATTTGCTGAATAGAATCCTGGAATGTCAGGATCCCAAACTGGTTTGGGAAAGGGAACTTAAAGCCCATCCAGTGCCACCCCCTGCCATGGCAGGGACACCTTCCACTGTCCCAGGTGCTCCAGTCCCCGCTCAACCTGGCCTTGGGCACTGCCAGGGATCCAGGGGCAGCCACAGCTGCTCTGGGCACTCCGTGCCAGGCCTCACCTTCTCAGTATCCCATCCTAATTAGGAATTCCTTCCCAATATCCCATCCAAACCTCCCCTCTTTCGGTCTGAAGCCATTCCTCCCCTGTCCCGTCACTCCATGCTTTTGTCTAAGCTCCCTCTCCATCACCTCTGAGATCACCAAGCCCAACCCTTAAATCCACACCTTAACCCTGCTCCCAGTGCCTCAGGGTGGCAGGGAATGTTCCTGCCTGGAATGCTGCAGCCCTGTGTTCTAACCACCCTCTCCATTTGATTTCCACTCGTGCTTGGAGGTCTTGACCTGCCAGTCCTGATTGGCATCCCAGTGGGATTGGCTGGGAGCGGTTCTGAGTCATTAACAGCAAGGAAATAAATGATCCAGAGAGTTTCTGGATCAATATCCTGGGAAATAAAGCACGAGGCAGGAAGGGCCTGCAGCAGGGACTCGACACATTCTGCTTCTTTAAGCAGCCACATCCATAATATCTAATAAAAACCTTGGGATCCCTGGGGAATTCCATGAGGGATGGATGCTGGAGGTCCTGAGCTGCCAGTATTAAAATATCAGTAGAACTTTGGGGGGAGGGGAAAAGATAATATCCTAATGGAAAAAAAAGATTGTCTCCAGCATGAGGGAATTCCATATTTATCATCACTCCAGCAGGTGAGGGTGGATTTCTCACTGCACCAGGCACAGGCCTTCATGGCTTGATTATATTTGTTATGTGCAAATGAAGAAAAGCTTAAAGCAGTAATGTATAAAAATCTATATATTTACTTGCCACTTTAAAAAGTCCTGTTTCCCAAATCACAAAATAATTACAAGTCAGATGAATTCAGAGAAGGACTTTAAGAGAAATAGGTGTTGAAAAGGGAAAAACCTTTAAAAATATTTTATCCAAAAAGCAGCAACACAGGCAGGAATCTTTGTTAAAATAACCAACACCACTTGGAAAGGAAGGGAAGGAGCTGCCAAGACTGACACACAAAATATAAACACACAAAAGGAAGAAAAGGGAAACTGGTCATAATTAATAAACGTCAGAAGCTGGGGAAATTAAAGACAGAAGGATATTTTCCATTAATTTTGAGCAGTGGGGCGATCCTACATGGAAATGGGAGGTTTATCAATGACACACAAAAGGCAGGGATGATCACTGAGGGATTTATCCTGGTAAAAAAGACAACAGGCTGAGGAAATATTTCCCAGGAGCATCCAGCTGATGGAGCCGAGTGGTTTTAAACCAGCACATCCAAAGAACTTGAGAGGGTTGTGAAGGAGGTTGTGAGTTAATGGTAATTTCCAGGAGGCCTGGGAAGAGCCACTGGAAGTGCCAGAGGACTGGGAAAGCCCAGAGGAGTGGGGAAAATCCAGCACCACGCTCCGAGGGGGACAGGACACCGTGGGATCGAAGGGTTTAAGGCTGGGAGGTTTCTTGGACAATTACTGCAACCCCAAAGGCTGAGGTGGGTAATTAAAAGAGGGTGGTATAATTGGTAATTAGAGAGGGTGGGGTAATGAGTGGCAAAGAGGAGTCTGAGGGAAACAGGAGGCGGAGAGCTCTGGCTTTCACCTGCAGGGTGATGGGGATGTGAAGTAAGAGATAATCACACCATGGAATTCCTCAGCCTTCCACACAGCCCTGGGCTCGGTCCCTGTCATGGATGGATTGGGAAAAATAGCAAATCAACAGGGCCTGCATTAAATAAATTAAACTGCAAAAGTGAGAGGGCTCAAGGTTCAGCTGGAAATGGAGAGAGGCACCGAGCAGGGCAGCTCTGGGATGGAGTGACAGCACAAGGAGTGGTTTTAAACTCAAAGAGGAGAGATTTAGGTCTGATATTAGGAGGAAATTCTCTCTGTAAGGGTGGGCAGGCCCTGGCACAGGTGCCCAGAGAAGCTCCCTGGGAGTGCCCAAGGTCAGGCTGGAAGAGCCTGGGACAGTGGAAGGTGTCCCTGCTGTGGCAGGGGGTGGGACTGGATTGTTTTATTATCCCTTTTAACCCAAACGATTCCATGATTCCAATATCCTGCCTGTGCCACCTGCATGGAGGCAAAAGCTGGGGCTCAGAGCAGGCAGGAAGAAAAAAGGAGGGGTTTGCTCCCTACATCCAGCTCAGAGCTCTGCACAGTGGGACTCCCCAAAAATCACTTTCTCTGGCAGCACAGGAGGAGTCAGTGGTGGCTGTGGAATCCTGCAGCAGCTGCAGGGATGAGAAGCCCTCTGAGAGGGGCTCAAACTTGGTGCATGTACAGATGTTGTTGAATAAACAGGGCACCTCCCTCCCTGGCTTGTAACCTTTCTGAGAATTGCTCACCTTCCACTCCTCTCCTGGGATTAAACAGGAGGTGCAGCCACCACCAAGCACAAGAGCCAAAAATATTCCCAAGGTCTCCCACCACTAGATTGAAATGTGCAGCTTTGGAAAGCAGAATGATTTTCAGTTTTGCTTTTTGCTCCATCCCTCCCCCAGCGAATTGAATTCCAGGAGTATAACATCACCCGATGTTGCCCCTAAGTTTTCTTTTCTTCACTTGGTCTCTGTCTAAATTACCCCCAAAACCAATTAAAGCCCAAAATGATATTGCAGCAAGCAGAACTGCTGTTAATCTTCCGGAAGATTGGAATTTATGGAAGTGATTGAAATGGTGGGAAATTACATTACTCGGACGAGGTCAGCCTTGGAGTTGTAAGCAGCATTTTTCTTTTTTAATATGTGGCTGCTTCAATGCTAATAATCTCACAGGTCAGGAGAAGCCAAGACCTGGGTTAACCATAAAGGAAAACTCCTGCGTGTCCTTGGGTTTTTCTGCGGGGTTGTGAAGAGCTGAGGAGAAAAGGATGAAAGGTTTGGCACTGTGCAGCAACCCTGCCAGGGGAAATGGCTTTGCAGGGAGAGGAAGGATGGGGCTGGCTAATGGGCATGTTCCAGCCATGTGGACAATAAATTACCTGG